AGTTGCTCTTTCTTTCGTTTTTTTTTTCCTTTTTTTCCTTTTTTAATTTTTAAATTGAAATTTTAATAGTCATATTAGTGAAGTAACAAGTTGTGCATATTAATTTTTTTTCTGCCTTTATTCTTTGTGAAAATAATAAATTTTTTACAGAAAAAAATGTGAATTATGTTTAACAAGTTTTACTATATTTTTTTTTTATAAAACTTTTTACAGTTTTATTAAAATTAACTTTAAAATTTATTACTAATTGCTTAAGTATTATTCCTTGTATTTTAAATTACTTTATTTTGTTTGTTTTAGAACCATTTTAGAGAATTTCTCGTCGATTTCGTTAAGAAAAATAATTGTAATTATTCTCTTAACGGGGAAATAATCGTAAATTTTTCTTGATTTATCCTTAAATTAATTGCATTTTATTTCCTAAATTTCTATTATTTCTTTTATTGTTCCCATATTTCAATTGAGAATTATTATTGTTTCAATTAATAATATAAATTCTTTTTAAATGATTATTTTTAGAATATTTTAATAAATTTTCAGTTAATATCCTGTTTTAATCCTTACATAATTGTTTTTCTGTGAAATTTGGTTTTTTTTATAACCTTAAATTCTTTCGTTTTAATAAATATCGAGTCAGTAACACGAATTTTAAAGGTGAAACAGTTGTTTTTTTTACCTTTTATTAATATATCATTCGATTTTATTGTTTCAGAAACTATTAATAATAGTTTTAAGGTGTAATGGTTGAGATAATTCCAGTTTTTTTTAGCAATAAAACCCTTAAGTTTTGTGTTTTAAACTATTATAATCTCTCTCTATAGGGTTTTAGTATCTGGAGCTGTGTTAAACTCATATTTCAAGTGTTTAATGTTCTGTTTCTCTTGTATCTATGTAGTAAATATTTTTTTTGTCTTATTCTACGTCAACTTTTACATATTTCTGTGATTTTTAGTATTAAAATCAACATATAAGTGATATAAATTAATATATTCTCTTCTATTATTTCAATTTTATTCTTTTAATAATACATTTTAATGTGTAGTGATTGCAATAATTTTTCAATACATGATATTTAAACAATTATATGATTCTAAGCATGTATTTAAGTGTTTAATCTTGTGTTTCTCGTGAAATTTTTCTTATTTTAAGTTAATATTTACATTTTTTTCGTGATTTTAAGAGTAAAAAATAATCAATACATACATTGTTATAAATTAATATACCACGTATTTCTGTTATAAAATATTAATCTACGTGCTTTTATTTAAGAAAAAAATCTTTTATACGTGTTTATAGTGTTGAAAATTGACAATACTCATCGCGTGTTTGTTGTGTTGGAAAGTTATCTGGTCTGTCATTTATCACGTGCTTAAAATCGACAACATTATGTAATTTCTAGTGTTTAAAAGCCACGATAAATCACGTTTACTTCACGAGGAATCAAAACATAATTTTTCATATTAAATATTTTTATTTTATTTACGTTATTTCAAGTTTATCTTCTAACAGGGACATATGCATTACACGTAATTAAAACAGCGAAACAAAAGGAAAAAAATAATAATAATTTATCGGTATATACGAAAACACGCAAAAGCTTTAAAATAAAATAATTCAACTTCCAATAATTAATTTATAAAAGGGAATTCTATTATTGGTCTCACACCATCTGTTGTATCTGCAAAATGTCGCATTTGCTGAACTATTGATTGAATTTTCTCGGTACGTATCACTAACGGTGGCGTCATCTAGTATCACAAAATTCAATTAAATCTAATTACAATAAAAATAATAATTAGATTTAATTCAATTTTTAAATCTTAAAAAAAAGAAAGAAAAAAATTATTAATTATTAAGCAATTATAAAATAAATATTTTAAAATATTACGCTTAAAAATTTAATTATTATTATTATTACACGCGAAAATAAAATAATAACGAGTTAAAACATAATAAATTTCATTCGTAATTGAAGATTTTAATTGTATTTTTCCCCCCTATTATAAATAAATTTGAAGATTAAATTTTTGAAGAGGATATTTTTCAATTTTGTAGACTTTAGAACATTTATTACAAATCAATGAAAAATAGTTAAATGTAAAGAGACGAACGATATAGTTACGTTTAAGAGAGGAACGATTGAAGGATATAAGTGAACAGTTGAAATGCCATCTTCAACTATCGTCAGCAAGAGTGAATAGTTGCAAAGGTCATTCACCTCGTCAGCTTAAATACGTTATCAAAGAGCGGACAAAGTTCTTTGACTCAATCCAATCTTTATGCTTGATGAAGGATCTGCATCCTTCTTCAAGAAAAGGATGTTAGAAACGGATGAAAGAACACACTCCTGTGGGAATATTCAAAATGAAAAATTCATTCAACATAAGAAGAGTATGTGATAATTTTTTTTTTTTTTTTTTTTTACTTATTTATTTTTATTTTTATTTTTTTCTTTATTTTACTCCTCGGAAAAATTTTCATTTCGCGTAGAAACAAATGCCAAATGGATATTTGATTTTTATTTATTGTTACATTTTGCAAATTCGAAAGTGATGAAGATGTCAGTTGATTTTTGTCTCTAGAATTTTTCATGTATTATATATACATTTTTAATATTATTATTTATTCATTTTTACGTCGCTCCTAGTTCTTACTAAATGTATTTTTAATAACTTTTAGAAAATATTATTATTATTTTCTTTTTTTTTCAATTAATTAAAAAGCAATAATTAACGTTTAAATCGTTAGATTCTTTTCGCTAGACTTTACAAATTGTTAAATTATTACTTCTCGAATTTGTAGTAAATAAATTACTTTCGGTAATTATTGTAGATCTGAGTTACAGATAATTAATAGATTAATGTTTGGGTAGAAATTTAAGAAGTTAAATGCCTAGAAACTCGATTAAATTTCGTTAAAAATGAAGCAAAATATCAATTAAATTTACATCTAAAATATAAATTAAAGGTTTAAAAAGAACAATTTTTTTTTAAATTTTTATTTTAGTATATATTAAACAACTATAAACACGAAGCAAGACACGTAGAAAGTGACTTAAATTTCTTAAAAATGAAGCAAAATATCAGTTAAAGTTGTATATTAATCGAAAATTAAGAGGTAAAAATCGATAATTTATCCTGTTTTCATACATTAAATTCGAATTGTATGCATTAAATTGCTACACAAACACGAATTAATACATGGTTTAATATCAGAGCAGCACTCCAGCATCCGTGAGAAGTATTTACTGTAGCAAATATTACAAAATATATTATAACTTTATTAAATTTGTTATAATGAAATATATATATATATATATAAAGGTTTCAAATCATGATTATTTGCATATTTGTTGAAATTTGTATCTTTCCATTAAGTGGAAAAGTTTATTCAAGTAGAAAATTTATTACATTACCGAAAGATTTACATAATTATTGAAAATCTGCCAGTCAAAATTTTCATTTTCTTTAAAAAAAAATTAATAATAATAATAATTTTATTTAAATTTATATAATTAATTTTCAATGTGTTTATTGAATAAATAACAGTTTTTTTTTTCCTGAGAGTGTTTGTTAAATTTTATATTAAAAATAGTAATAATTGTATTTACATAAATTTAAGCGAAAGGTATGAAATTAGATTTAAAAATTTTAATTAAATATTTTATTTTTTCTTAAAAAAAGTTATAATTTTATTGTATTTTTTGGGGGGGATTAAATTAGATGATAATGTTAATTAAACAGTTCTTTCTTTTAACAACAGATGGCAGCATGCGATAGAGTTTTAGTGTTATCGATTGTCACTACTATCTTCTAGGGTCAGGTAGCTGTTCAGAAGTAAATATTGTATATAGAAATGTACAGATAAATCTGCTATTGTACTTATTAAATCTGTTTATTTAGCAACAACTTAACTAATTTTGTTATACTTATTTTGATTTTTATAAATTAAACAAGTTTATTAATCAATTTCAGTCACGTGTAGCTGTACTAATTTAAATTAATGAGTTCAAACTTTGTAAATAAACGATTTTCTGTTTAACGTTTATTGTAAATTACTTGTTTTTTTTTCTTCTTCTTTTTTCATTTCTTCATTTATGTAAATTACGTGAGCATTCTTCTGTGTGATTGTCTGTTTGTCTGTCCGATTTACAAGACATAAACAATCGTTTAAACTAGGTGAAAAAAATAAGTTAAATTTTTAATAAATAATTGATTATTTGTGTTGTTTTTTTTAAATCAAATTTAAGCTTTGTTTGGTTTGATATAAAATGTAAAAAATGTATAAAATTCTTGTTTATTTAGGTGAAGTAAGTGATGATTATCAAAAGTACAGAGTTTACAACACGGTAAATACAAGGAAAAAAGGGGAAAAAACAACACCATAAAGCTTAGATGATTGATAAAAATCACCAGACTAACATAAAAATTTCTCCATAACCCTAGCAGATGGTCAATATCGACCATAACAAAATTTTTAAAGCGATTTTAACATAACATACATCACATCAAAGACTTACTTCATCCTTTGATTACTTTTTTTTCCCCTCCCTTCTTCTGTCTTACGTGTTATAAAAACCATGCAAGAACTTACACTAGTTCTTGTGGCAAGTTACAGAGTGATAGACGACACCATTCCGGAAACATTACTTATAACGATTGGTTCATAAATCTAGCAAATTGTTGTCGTTGTTTCGGTGTCATTTCATTCTTCTAAGCAAGTCTTCTTGCCTGTGTTTATGAAATGGCCTCTTTAAACATCGTTGTCCCGCTGTGATAACGTCAAGTGCCTATGTAGTTATGTGTCTTTAGGTACTTCGTCACCATTGCTTGTCGACTACCTTATGTTAGTTACACTTAACTCGTGTAAGCGTAACTTTTACCAGTTATCACCTACATAATTTTAGATTTATCTTTTATATCATCGTTAAACGAAATATTATTATTATTATTATTATTATTCCTTTCTCCATACTCTTATTAACTTTTATTATATTTCAGGTATCGTGGATAAGAAGAAAGGATTTTCATGTTCTAACTGTTGGATTAGAGACTTATACGACAGATGCTAGGTTTCAAGCTATTCATATGGAAAGAACGAATGATTGGTCTCTACAAATAAGATATCCTCAATTAAATGATGCTGGTTTATACGAATGCCAAGTTGGTTCGGATCCAAAAATTAGCTTTTTTGTCAATCTCAACGTTGTAGGTAAGTTTAATATGTTTTTACACGTGTTTACAACTCATTTCTGAAAGCTCATTTCTCCCAAATTCATCTTCCTGAACACAAGTGCTGGGCTTCAATTTGAAAAAAATTGTAGACCTGTAAATTCCCACTGTCTATCCTTCCTTAATCTCATGAACAGATATGGAAATCTTAGGATTAGAAGGCTCCGATTAACTATATAGTAACTTTAGGTCTATACCGGAAATCACGTGATTTCAATTCAAAAATTCCCCCATACGGACTTACATAGATGACTGACATCACTCTGTTGTTATCAGGAAAAGTATGATGTACAGGGGCGGAGCAAGACATTTGAGATGGAGAGCATATATTTTAAATTAAATAAATTAAAAATATGATTATAAATTGCTGCCCGGCATTGTAACGATTGCTCATTCTTTTCTATGTATTTTTTAAAATTTCTTACAAAGTATTGTAGCGGTTTTCTTTCCTTCCATCTTCATTCACAGTTCTTTTCCACACGTCACATTTTTTTATATCCTTTCTTCTTACACCATTCAGCTAAAAATAGACCAGTCTGACACGCAATAAAACATTTTAAAAAATTAAAAAATCAAAAATAAGTTAAATTAAACGTTAAAAAAATGATACACCGATACATAATTTTATCAGGAACATTAATATTCTTTCTCATATTTCAGAGGCAAAAGCATCGATACTAGGACCTCATCCACTTTATATCAAAACAGGAAGTTCTATTAACTTGACTTGTGTCATAACTCAAAGTCCAGTACCTCCAGTTTTCGTTTTTTGGTTTCATAACGAAAGAATGATCAATTATGATTCTTCGAGAGGAGAAATATCATTACAGAAAGCTGGAAACGATACAGTTGTCAGTAAATTATATATAAAGGATGCACAAGCAGACTACTCCGGAAATTACACCTGCGGTCCTTCAAATGCTGATTCTATAAGTATCTCAGTATATATACTTAATGGTAAGTTGATGAAATTCAAATCATTCATTCGATTTCAGTTATTCTGTAAGTGAATCAATACTAAAAATATGAATTTTCTATTATCTAAATCACTAAAAAAAGAATATTAATGTTATCGATTCCTTGTTTTATTTTACTTTTATTATTATTTTATTTTATTTTATGATAATTAAAATTATAATGTAATTCGGTTCTGTTTAATAATAATAATAATTTTTTTAAAAAATAGCAAATATTTAATGACATTTTATGGGTCATTGTACTCCGAATTTTGGACGACAATTATTAATTTTTTTTACTTTAACATTTTTTATAATGATTAATTTTACATCTTAATCATAAAATATTCTAATTATTTAGAGATTTAACATGAATTTTTATTCATTTTTAATGCTTTAATATATATATATTTTTAATCGAACTTCCACCAATGTCACCACAAAAATGAAGTCTAGAAACACTTCTTTAAAAGCTGTAATGTTAATTAATGTATTCATTTTTAATATATTAAATTTCTACAGTAAATTTTATAATTTTTCTAATATCGAAATTATCTATTTTTTCTCGTTTAGTCATTACAGAAAATCATAATTCTTCTTTATCTTGATAAATGTCTATTTTTTGCATCATTCATTTTATACGGATGAACAGCATTTTACATTAATTCTAATTCCTAAACGACTTTTATTTTTATTGCAAATTTTAAAATATATTTTTGTAAAAAAAAATTAAAAAATTAACATTTGTAACGTATAATTTTTACAGTAAATTTTGTATAAGAACTATTGATAAATGTAAAACGATTAAATTCTATTTTAAGCATCAGAAAAAAGGATGAAGTATTGTATTAATTTCTTGTATGTCGTTATATTGAGGTTCGACTGTATATATATACAGTCAATCCTCGATATAACGTTCTATGTATGGATGTAGTGCCATCCATTAGTGGGAATATCCCTTATATCGAAGCTCCTGTTAGCATTTGCGGTAAATCCCTAAATAAAAACAGAAACATAATAAATAATTTAGTGTTCTTACCGTAAAAATACTATAGAATTGCTTGAATTTTTAAAATAATGTAGCATATTAATGACTTCCGAATTATTATGGTCCAGTATCGAAATCCTATCGATGTGGATCGTTATATCGAATGTGGACTGTATTATACAGTCGAATCTCAATATGATAAATGTGCAACCCTCGTAAATCATCGACATTAAATGGATCAATATCGCATTATGAAACAGTGTTATCACCAAATCACTATCAAATTTAAACGTATGTGTAGGCCTCATTATTCTATATAATTCTCATTGTTTAAGATTCTTCGATTTAGCGCCACATTGATTTTAGTACCAATTTTAGAAGGAAACAAATGGTGGGTCTATATTAAGGTTTTAATACAGTTGAATTAATATTAAAAAAATTCTGTGTTAATAAAGAAACCACCCGATATAGTGAATTTCAGATACAGTAAGCACATTTGATTCTTGATATACTTTATGTATGTAATGAATCCCCATATAATGAATAATTTAGATCAATTCTTTTGGCAGTTCACTATATAGAGAATCTATTATAAACTATCAGTAAATACAATAATATATTCTATATAATTATAAAACTTTAATTATTTTTAAGAATTTTCTACATAATATTAATTTTAATTTTAAAAATTAATATATTATATAAACTTGTAATTTAATTG